CTATACAAGTCCACATTCCACCGTAGGCCCATAGGTACTTGCATAATAGGTTCTAGCTATTAAGTAAGAAGTGAATAATATAATGACAGACATCAATAGTCTTTAATACACACACACACTGCCTCTGGTCACTGCTGTCCTTGTGTCTTATCATGGTTTTAGCACAGAGGCAGATCAGTGGAGCCTGTCAGCCTACACTCGACCCTTGATGATAGCACAGAAGGGGACGTGTATCTGGACTATCTACTTCCTCAGCCTCTCTATCATCCAGTCACATACCAAAGCCATGACTGCTCTGTCCACTCCTCACTGTAGTGTTTACTCTGAATAACATGGGATAATAGTTTATTATTTGAGAGATTTTTATTTTGTATTATATTTATTTAATTTTTCAGTTTCTATTTTTGCCAGTTAACATCATAAAGTTTACGGCATGGTGTCTGAGTGGCTAGCATTCACACAGCAAGAAGGTTCCGGGTTCTATCACTGGGTCGCCTGGGCCCTTCTATGTGGAGTTTGCATGTTCTCCCCATGTCTGGGTGGGTTGCCTCTGGACACTCCAGTTTCCCCCATCAACCCAAAAACATGCACCATAGGTAGGTAAAAATCCTCCAGCTAAGGTAGTCCTGACCATGCCTAGCAACAACATCATGGAGATGGGTCCCCAGGCGTCCCGTGTGCTGCCCACTGCCCCAAAGGATGGGTGAAAGGCAGAGGACAATTTCCTCACGGGGACAATAAAAAGTACTACAAATCACCTAAAAACCAATTTAATACTGATGATATGGGCCGATAATACATGTTTCCTCTGGATTTTACATGACCAACTAATAGTAAAAGAAAATTCAATTATGTTGGCTGAAAAAAGTTATGGACCAGTTAACAAAATTTAATTTTCATTTGTTATGGATACTACCTGGACAAATGAGGGATTACACAGACATGTAGCATGGCCAACTAATGCAACTTAATTCATCCCTGTGATCCCAGATTGCGTAAAGCCCATTTTAAATGTGTTTTGTAAAATGCTACATAGATTAAAGCACAAAGTTTATCACTGTCTCAACTTTAACAATTATCATTTACATTGACTCTTAAAAGCTACTTAACTATAAAGAAATTTTATTTAAATGCGTTATTATTTGGGTACTTTGGGTATAGGTACATTGTAATTATTGCAATTAAAATATATGTGTCATGACTTTATCATCTTCCCCACATTTTTCATATTTACTGACAGCCTGTCTGTCTTTCGCATGGCATACTGTTGTTTTTGCCTGTGTAAAATTACAATTGTACAGGTGTCCAGCCAGCAAGGTGGTGCTGAGAGACAGGCACGCCAAAGGACAGCCAAGCACTTGTGTTCCCCACAAAGATCTGACTTGTCTTACAACTGTCTGTCCTGCCCAACATGTGGCTTTGGTTTCATAGCCGGCTTGTGCTGCAGGAGCTCTCTTCATCTGCCCAGAGAACAGAGACCATGGAGAGGGGTGCTTTCCAACTGCAGCTTCCTCTTTCAAAGGGCCGTGGATGTACATGGATCAGGGATTCCTGTGTTAGCGGTGTGATAGCACGGCACCTGCAGAGGCCAGACAGGAAGAAAGGACAAGAGAGAGAGGAGAGAACACAAGGAAGATGCTCAGTAGTGTTGCCAGCCCCTCTCTCTGATTTCAAACGTCTGTTGTGTCAAAAATTGTGCTTTCAAAAGCTGACAGTGTGACCAGCTTCCCAGGCCTACTCTCTGTAACCTGCACTCATCACAATATCATGAAATGTGCACATTTGGGATGGGTCAAAAGTGTCATCCACAAAGAGGGCAGTGTATCAGAGACAAGTGGTTCTCAAATTGTGGTACAAGGACTACAAGATGTACGTCTTGTGCATCTTTTGGTGATTCTAGGATATTTTGTGTGTTTTTTCTTTTCATTTTGTGCCAGTTGGAGCCCTTACTATATCATGGATTAGTGTCACAGGCCTGAGAAGGTTTGGAACTAGTTTACATTTTTGAAGATCCATTTTTCACTCTTTGCTTATTTGGCTCTTGTTGGGTGAATAAAGAGAATACATTACCATATATTACCTGGATTGGTTTAGTTACAAAATGTTCTTCACACACAATGACAAATGCTATGGTCAAACTACATTAACAAAACAAAAGAGCTTGAATGATGGACAGATCCAGAGAAAATCCTGCCAATCTTGTGCACAATCCATTTCCTGGGGTTCAAGTGTTATAAGTGTAGTGTTGAATATTGTGTTTGGGAACATGCTGCCCATTGATTGACATGGGCGCAGGGGCTGGTAAAACATTAGTGTGGTGTCCATCTGTCAGCGAGCCTCAGATGTTTGGCCTCAGGGCTGCACTGGTGTAATAGTGAACACAAATCTGGACATTTGCTTTCCTGTCCACTTCTGCTACAAAACATTTATCATTAACACAATTGATTCTCTATTCTGTATTGCAGGTGTTCATTCTCTATTTAACAAAACATGATAATGGAATGAAAATTAATCCTATTTTATTTATCTGTATCAAAGTAAAATGCAAAGAAATCAGAAGGAACAGACTGCAATGTATTTAGTCGGCAGCTAATCAGAACTCACCAAATCCTTATAGGCTAACTGAAACATGTATTAGCAATATGACAAGATCATGTTTTTTGTACCTGCCTTGCAAGCTTGTCCGTCCATCCATCCCATTTCCTGGCACAGCCTCCAGTCACTCTGCATCCACTAGAAAAGAAAAGAAAAAAAACAATAATAGCTATATAAATTCATAAATATACAAAATTTACTATCACAATATTTTATATGCATTATCTGTGAATGTGGATGATGAATAGCTCTGTAAAAATACTGCTAAAATTAATTTTATTTGTTTCTCTTAAACAGTTTGAAGGCATAGCACTGACACACAAACCGCCACCTTACACCTTTCCTTTCCCAGATGAAAACAATAGAAAGTTGTATATATAAAATGTCTCTGTGCTTGTGTATTTCCAAAATGTCATATGGATTGATTCAACAGCAACATTACAATTTTAATCAGTGTTGTAGAACCAGGTGTTAAAACGCATGCGGCAGCCCTTCAGGCCATAAGAAATTGGACAAGGCACCAGGAAATTGTGTCTCCTTCAGGAACAAGTGTTTTGTGATTGTTTACCCCATGTCTTTAAATTGCATTTCTTCCTTTTTAATTTAAGCTGCTCGGCGATGGGATTTGAGGGGGAAAATGAGGAGAAGGAGGTGAACTTATCCAGCTCTTTTTCAATCCCTCTCTCCTCAGTATTAACCCTGTGTGCGGTGGTTTCTGTCAAATGCAAATGTCATGACCCCATATGGTCAGCCCATGAGGCACGGTGAATACATGCGGGGGGAATTAAAACATGAACACTGCGTGTGTGTGTGTGTGTTGTGAGTGTGCATGGGAGGGTAGTTATCACACTGTGGGGACAAAATTCATGAGGATTGGTCTCCTGGTCCCTGTGATGTAAATTCTTTATTATTAGACAACATAACAAGTTTAGAATGAGTTAAAAATTATGAAGGATAGAGTTTGGTTTAACTTTAGGCAAGTAACTAGGGTAAGGATCTGTCTCCAGGAAATGAAAGTCAATGTAATGTACCCGTAAAGCAAGGAAACCTAACATGATGTGCACATGTGTCTTATTTTGACACACTTGAAATTACACAAAGTGAGGGGAAACGTAATTGCTCCAAGGACAGAGAGAACTAAAGTGTGAAATACATCCATTAATGAGTACAGTGTTTTGTTTATGTAAGACTGCATACACATTTTATCAAGTGAGGAAACCGCTGTGGGTTGCAAAGTCGAATTATTACTGTTATTTGTGATATATCATAAATGTGGTAGTGGAATTAACAGATGTAGGTATGGCAATACATGTCCTTTGTTATAGGCTATTCATCCCTGTAACCTGTATATGTATCTTTAACTTTGGTGAACTCACTGTTTACTCTTGTAAGTAGTCTATGTAATTACAATCATCTTAACGAAAACATCATGGCAGTAAATAAATCAGACCTGCACAGTTGCACAGTAGGCTAAAAATCAAGTTGTTTAATCTATTAGTCTTGCATTTCTGTAAAACGGTAAGGATGCCCTAAAATATTGGACAGACTATAAGAATAGATATAGTTGCCTATACCACTGGGTTTGCAATAGCGGGGGTCCATTTTTGTGGGTGTATGGCGAAGACTTTAACACTAGAGGGCAGCATTCAAAATTATAACCATGTTGATGACCAGCATGATTACAATATTAAGTGTGCAATGTCTGTGTAGCTTTTTTGTTCAGTCACTAACGGTCTTACTATAAAAACTAAAGACATATCAATAAATATATATATATATATATATATATATATATATATATATATATATATATATATATATTATATATATATATATATATATATATATATATATAATATATATATAATAAGTAAAGAGATTTGTAGTAAGACTTAAGTAAGATAGGCGTTTAGTTAGCCTGTAGGCCAACACTTACATTCATAGTGGATGTATCAGGGATGTGGCTCACCTTTAAATGAGGATTTACAGACATTTTGTTGTCCTTTGTTGAAGATTTTGGAGCTTTGCGATAATGTCCAAATTTAAGGCGAAAACTGTTGCGTCCATTGGGTAGTTGCCGCTGAATCAAACTACTGACCTACTCCTATTAACATGGAACATTGGCACCCCCCACTGGATATATTGATTACTACGACAACCTCAAATACAAGTTAAAAGAGTATTTGACTATTAGTTCCACAGAAATATTTTGTGTTCTAAAATACACACTTCTACGGTGCAGTTGTACAGCAATCTGTGGGGAGAGCCGACCAACAGGGGTGCGCCTCCTGCACCGCGTCTTACTCACATGGTGTTACTCTGTTGTGCAGGAACATCACAGTCTGTATGTCCATGATCTGTATGAGGAACGTTCAGCATCTCAGGATGCTACAGCCGCGCATGCGCACTGACCCCGGAGAGGAGTCGTGGCTCAGCTAGCATCCAGGGCTAACGAGGTGGATGGGAAACACCGTGCTAAAGAAGGCGTCGTGTGCACAGTAGGCAGCAAGATTTCGGCGACTTGAATATCCCCAGCTAATCCCTGACCGACCATTATCCCTCCATGCTGTCCTGTAAGGGCAGATAACGCTAATAGCACACACTGCCTCTTAAATTAGCCATCGTGCAAGAGAGTAAACTGCGTCGGACGTGAAGGGGCTTCCGTGTCTTGCTCTGGAGTTCTACTTTATTTTATGAGAGAAAAACACAGCTGCTGTATCTACTCCTAGTATAATTTCAGAAAAATGAGGTTGCCAAATAAGCGTAACACTGAAGGAGACGGAAAGAAGATGGACCAAGCCCCTCCGACAAGAAATCCATTTGTGCACATCTTGAAATACACCCCTATGGAAAAAGCAAAGGTAAATTACATAATATATATTTAGGCTGCACACAGCTACTGAGCAACATTTGCCGACTTCATCATCTCACGTGTGCATGGTGGCATTTTTCTTGATGATTAACTGTTCCCTTCAGTCAGCTGAGCAGTTAGCACGTTGGCTAATATTAGCCACATACATGTTGCTTCTACACAAGCTGTTGTCTTAAGTACAATTGCCCAAATGCAAACATTTAATCCTAAAATGATCTTGAGTAATGTCAACAATGTTTGCGTCGATTTGAGCCACACCTAATTCTTACAGCATCTTGAATGAAGTTTTATTCCAATGGCCGACTGGATGCGATGGGCTTGGCCTATCCCCCTGAATGTAACGTTAAAACTAATGAGAGGTTTAACGCCAGCACTGGACACTATTGCTTCATTTATGTGGCATGAGCCACATTTCCCCTGATGCAAACATGATTCGGGGTGGTGGCTACATGTTATAATCGTGTTGCTTTGTTGATGGTCAGAGAGTACATTCCTTTCAGCTAGCATCTCGCACGTGTGGTTAGAGGGTCAATGAGGTGGAAGCTGGGGAAGCCACAGTGATCTGTTTCTACTTTGCATTCGTCCAAACGCTTCACTGATTACATAAACCGGAAATTAACAAAATATATGCATCACCAAAACTACATTTGGGAAATTTCCCTTGCCACAATGCTGACATATCATATTTTAGACAAGATTATTTAGACACACTGAAAGAATAGCAATGATGAGATTGCCATCCATACTAATATGTACAGCACACCATAACTGTGTGTATTATCAGTGAAATTGGTGCCAGACCAAAGACAAGGGCTCTCAGCAGATTAGGGCTTTGCTCCCTGTAGTGTGTGTTATCAAGACTAATATTGACAAAAGATAAGTGCTGCTATCACTGAGCCATAAAACACTGTAAGATAAATAGTCACTGCTGCCGCCAACTGCTGTGTAATACCAGAGAGTGTAGTGTGTCATATTATACCACCATATTATTGGTTTGATATTCTTTTCAACAAAACATAAAATGCCATGTGCCAAATAAAAAGAGTGTTTTGAAATGATGAAACTGGCTCTTCCCAGGCGCATCCTTTCAAATTAACTGTTGTGTATGTTATGTTGAAGGATTTTCGTGAATCTAATTTCTTGTCTTCCTTTTGCAGATTGCAGTAATGACAGTCACACTGTTTCCTGTCCGGCTGCTCATAGCTGCATTCATGATGCTGCTGGCCTGGCCTTTTGCCTTTTTGGCCACATTAGGACGCTCTGAAGACGGGGTCGAACCTCAGTGTTTTTGGCGGAGGTAGGTCTATGGTTATTTTTTTCTAGAGCATAGTAGTGCAATTTATTGGCCCTCGCCACTAACAAAGTTATTACTGTTATTCTGATTCTGATGTGTGGTTAACTTTTTTTTGTTTTGTTTGTTTTCAGACTGGTGGACATCATTCTGAAGATCATCATGCGGGTCATGTGGTTTGCAGGAGGGTTCCATTGGATCTCTGTAAAAGGTCAAAGGGCATTGCCTACTGAGGCACCAATCTTGACCTTGGCACCCCACTCTTCATATTTTGATGCCATTCCAGTCACAATGACAATGTCATCTATTGTCATGAAGGCAGAAAGCAAGGACATACCCCTTTGGGGCAGTAAGTATTATGAGGCACACACAAAATCTGAAAACTCTTACTTTACCCTCTTTCTTATTTTGACCTAAAACTATGATTATTACATAATTAGAACCTCATGTAAATTTATATTTGGTTCTCTTGTTCATGCTCTATGCTGCAAAGTATTTTTTGTTAATAGCTCCTCTTAATGTGTTAATTGTTGGTGGCAAGATGTCATGTGCTTCCTGTAACTTTGACAACTACATGTGCACATGCATCCAGATTAGACCTGATCAGCCACAATGACGTGAGAGGAGTGTCTCGGAGATCTTTAATCCTCTCCAGTCACCAGCAAGGCAAACTGTAGTTGGACTGTGCTTTTTTGACTTTGTTTCTCTATTCAATGTTTATTTAATAAATGTTGAAAATCTTTTCACACACTGTTATATAATGTCTGTTCTTACTTTCAGCATTAATAAAGTATATCCGACCAGTGTTTGTGTCAAGAACTGACCAAAACTCCAGAAAGATGACAGTTGAAGAGATCAAGCGTAGAGCCCACTCAGGAGGTGACTGGCCCCAGGTGCGTGAAATCAAATGGCTCTTCAACAACAATCACAGATCCTCCATTGAAAATGTGCTGTATGGCTTGACTAACTGTATATATTTCTATAGATAATGATATTTCCAGAAGGCACATGCACAAACAGATCTTGTCTGATTACTTTTAAACCAGGTATGCTAAAGTATTACAACCTTTATTAAGGGTGCTTCAGAATGTTCTTTTTCCAAGGCCTGAAAATATTATGTTACTTCTTGTCTTTTGTCCAACAGGTGCATTCATTCCAGCTGTACCAGTACAGCCTGTAGTTATTCGATATCCAAATAAACTGGTAAGGCATTATTCTGGTCATTTTTGCTTCTCAATAATGCTTTCAGCTATAAATAGTGTATGTTCTCATGATATTTATTTAAATTTTTTCAGGACACTATCACATGGACATGGCAAGGACCTGGGGCGTGAGTATATTGCTTTTTCTTTATTCTATTTTTGTCCTTGGTAAAGATTTTCACCCCCAAATCTGTTGTTTTGCTGTTTAGTCTAAACTAATGGTTTTATATATTCCCTATAGCATGTTACTTCACCCACCTACCCTGTATCCATGTTTTATAGGAACAGAGTGAATTAATTATTAATGCACTAAATTGACTAATGACACAACTATACTTACAAATGTTTGTTTTACTGACTTAAAATGTTTTTAACAGGTTTAAAATTCTGTGGCTTACTCTTTGCCAGCTACACAATGAATTTGAAATAGAGGTAAGCATTTCACAGTTTGTTTACAGAAGATGTATTATAATTGTAACAGCCAGTTTAACTCTATCGTAAAGTTATGTGTTTTAGCACGTGTAAACCTTGTCAAATGATTATACTTAGAAAGAAGAAACCTGATCACCAATTTCTTGTGTTGTGTTTTTAGTTTCTTCCTATCTACTCACCATCAGAGGAGGAGAAAAAGAACCCAGCCCTCTTTGCTGTTAATGTGAGGCGGATTATGGCCAAGTATGTCCAAATACAATAGAGAATGTAATGGTTGTGTGGAGTCTGAACATCCATGCTCTGCTACATAAATTATCAGCTACATCAATGTCTGATTTTATCCTTTCTCTGTTCAAGAATGTATGTGATGTCATACCACTGATGGGCCTGATAGTTGTTGATTATTACATACTACTTCTATCAGGCAGAATTATTACTGGGGAGATATCTGTGCGCTCACACATTGATCCAGTGTCGTTGTGTCTCTATGCTGTGCTTAGAGCCCTGGGGGTCCCGATCACAGACTACTCATTTGAAGACTGCCAGCTGGCCATGGCAGAGGGCCAGCTCAGACTGCCCGTCGACACCTGTCTGTTGGAGTTTGCCAAGCTTGTCAGGAGGCTGGGGTAAGGGACACAAATAGGGACACACCAGTAAAATTAAAACTAGATGAGTAGATGGTAAATGTGTTAATTCAAAAGATTTATAAGATAATTTTCTGAATAATGATACAGTGTCAAGTTTTAACGCTTGCTTCAGCGATTAGCTCTTGAAAGAAATAGTCAAAGACCACCTCCACTTCTTCAAAACATTCATTCAGTTTTATCTATGATCTTGGGTTTCAAGTGAAATTATCTTTCTAAACTCTGGCTATGCTTACGTGCGCACCAAAAATTATCTGGTTTCTGGAGTTATCAGATTATTGAAGTGTCATGTAAACACTAAACAGTTACATCTGATGTAAGTAATGTGATCTTTTTTGATTGTTCACACCTTGCAGGTTTTGACAAGGCAAATTATGCAATAAAGTATAAATGCTTAAAATCTGTTGTTCAAAGTACAACAATCCATTGATTAACTGACACGTTAATAGGTGTTGTTTTTGATGATCACATATCATATCTGAATGTTTTATAATTACATGGGTGTGTTGTTTGATTTTTGTTGGTTATCTCATTTGCACTGGACATATAAATGTACCCAGTAAATATAGTCTAAATAAATGAAAGTGTGTGCACATTATCCAGAGATAGACAGTTTTAAGGTCTGTTACTTAAACATTTTTTTCTTTTTCTTTTTCAGGTTGAAATCAAAAAACACAGAGAAGGAGCTGCAGGAATATGGAAATAAAGCCAGGAAACTGGAGGGTCAAAAACTAAGTCTAGAGGACTTTGCTCAATTTCTGGATTTGCCTGTTTCTGACATGCTGCGTGACATGTTTGCTCTCTTTGATGAGGTACTGTGTAAAATGATCATTTATTTTACTATATCATTGTATTTTACTAATGTGGTCGTGCGGTTGAAATATGTACTAGGAATTTGTAATCTGTTCACCTGTTTTACAAGTTTTGCTTGTTTTTTGTTACAGCATGAAGACAACTGTATTGATATCAGAGAATATGTGATAGCCTTGTCTGTTGCATGCAGACCTGCTAAAACCATGGAGACATTGAAACTGGCCTTCAAGGTGCGTTTTGTTGGAATGATTTTGTCCAGGTTCATTGAATGTATAATGTGGTATGTTATTGATGATAGTCAGAGGGGCCGAAGGCACAGATTAGCAGCCTTGCTTCTATCATCTACCCCAGAGCAGCTGTGACTACAGTTATATCTTACCACGCCAGTATCGAATGAATGAATGATGCACTGTAAAGCACTTTGGTTATACTGAAAGGCGCTGTATAAATCTGATGCATTATTAGTTATACTTTTAGTATTATAGTGTTAGATCCCTTGCAAAATTTGACAAATTCTGGTTCTGTATTCATAGATGTTTGAGTCAGACAATAATGGAGCCATCACAGAGACTGAGTTGTCAGTCATATTGAAGACCGCTTTAGGTGTATCAAACCTGAGTGTGTCACGCCTCTTCTCGTCTATTGATTCAAAGGACACAGGGAAGGTCACATATGGTAAGAAAATACTTTTTAATACCAAAATATGGTTTGAGGTTAATTGTATCATAATTCTGGGGTTTGGCACCCTCTTGTGGTCTTTTGTGTACAGACATGTTCAAGTGCTTTGTGGAGGAGAACCCAGAGTTCGATGAGGAGTATTTGTATGTAGTAAATCCACAGCTCCAGAGAGGCCCATGTCACCAGAAGAAACCAAGTTTGTCTTCCCTTGCCTGTCTCAACCTGCCTGGCATCGCCACCACCAAAACTGCTAACGGTATCTTTTGCCCAGATTTTAGTGATGGCAAAACAGATGGACTCAAGAAACACAATTAACTGTTCTGCGAAGTTAAGCAAGCAGCACTCTCCTGGTGAGAGTGAAGTGCTACACCAGTTACATGTATAGCAGAAAGGGAAGAATTCTTTCAATGGTTAGCTTACCTGAGGTTTTATTCGTATATTTTAAAAATTATTTTCAACAAGATATTTTTGTTATAATACACAGGTTTTTATTTTGTCAAATCAAAGACTGTCTAAAGGCCAAATGGTGGTTCTTAAAAATACAAAAGTTGGACTTTGCACTTAAAACACCCACAGAAGAAATCTTTGTGTGCCCTCACACTTTGTGCATGCAAACTCAAGGAGGGAGACGATATTAGATGCCAGCTCTGGACAGTGAACACATTAGTCAATTCAGTATTTGATTTTTGGCTTGTGTTTCTAAGATTTCTAAAACTCCTCTGTTAGCTGCCTTTGTGACCTTAAAAGTGCAGAATGCATGAGCTCATTGTTCTGAGCGTCTTTGACAAATCTTTATTTATACAATGAGACACCAGTGACAATTCTAGCCTCTTGAAGCTGGTAGTTTCATCGGGTAAATTCGAGGTGACTCATGTCTAATTTTTTAAATCAAAAATTGCTGTGAGCGTGTTAATGCATTTATAAATACACACATTAATTTAGCTCAGGGTTCAGCAACAAAAAAATGATATATCAACTATATGATGTCATCACTTTTGACAGTAACAGGGATGTGTATTTTTCCATACCATACAGTTCTTCCCAAATATTCCTTAGATTATTTTTCTTTTCTTTTCAGCAAACTGCTACAACTGTCTGTTTCAAATGCACCCTGTGGACCAAAAACACATGCCACATACTGTTTGTATCATCCTTATCTTGTCAAAAGCTGTAGCAGCTCAAAGGGGAAGCACATCCATTCTTGACCAACTCATGACTTTGTTTCTGCATTACACTGCCACTTTTATTTATTTTTCAACAGTGAGAACATTTTCCTGTGCGAGCCCGGCCAAAGGTTTTCAAAGTAAATCTCTGGGTGCTTTTTATACCCATCTGTTGTACATGTATTCTTACTTTTGTTAAGTTATTTTGGACATATTGCCAGGTCTTTAGCAGATTTTAGTGAAATATTTCTATAATGAAGGAATTTCAACTTAGCCATTTATTTTAGCATTCATTTAAATAACTGATGGCTGTATGTTTACATAGAACAAAATGTTAAGCCATGTAAATATACAGTGTCCTAACAAGTAAAATCAGCATTAAAAATGGTTATTTACTCATAGGTATATTTTCATAGAACACAAACAATATTGTATAGGTAAAAGGGAAAGTTGTTTTCTGTTAGAATTTACAAAATAATCAACTTTAGACATTTTATCACAAGTTATTTTTTAAAATGGCAGGACTTTTACTTCAGTGAGGCTGCTCCCAGTCCTTTTTTGTGCATATTTTTGCTATTAGCAAAGCAATATCTTAGTTTCTTGAGCATTCTCAAGTATACATTTTAGAAAACTCTTGATGTGTATCAAACATTCCAAATGCAGGACATTTTGTGAATTTTTGATGTACATATACTGTTTGACTGAATTTTATTTTCACTGCCATGTCAAAGATCTATGATCTCTAGATTGTACTGATAGTTAAATGAACCATGTTTTGTTTTTCTATATTCTATAGTGCAAGGTGATTTAAAATCATTCAGGTTATTGCTGAGTAAAGTACGTAAATCAACATGCAAATTTCATTAGGGAGCTAATGGTTTTTGAATCTAGGGTGTTGTTCAAAAAATAGAATGTATCTAGACAATCTTGTCACAATCAGACTCCTCAGAACACTGTTGTACGATATATTCCTCCACTCTGTTACAAGTCCGTGTGCAGGTCGGACTGGGCAAGCCTGAGTGCTGAGCCTCGAGGAGACAGTCGCTATGATAGGCCCCATGGCTCACACTGCACACGCCATCATCCAATGGTTTTGAGAACTGCCCCTTTACTCCTTTGTGTGTTTGTATTCTGCTTGCACTTTAGATTATGTTTAATACTGTATAACATGTTAGAACCATTTGTTACAGTATTTTTTTTTCCATGTATCTTTTAGTAATATGAAAAGATCAAGTGTTTGTTACAAAATGGGAACCAATAGGAAAGTAGCAACTTTCTCTTTGAGATTAATGTAGAAATATTAAACTGACTGCAACTGCATGATGACTGAAGTGGGTATACACTGAAGTCATTTGTTGGAAAACACTTGGGCATGCCAGAGGCAAATTGACTGTGAATTTTACCTACAGAATGTGTGTTAAATTCTATAGACGCTCTGCAGATCTTATCTGCTCTGGGGTTGCTGGGGTTTGTTGGGCTACTACTTCACCTTTGTTTTATATACTTTTGTTTCAGCTACCTCATTGGAGGTGAGGCTGCTGTTTTTGTCTTTTTCTGGAAAAATGTAAACTTTGCAACAAGACAAAGCTATATTGATGCTACTGCTGCCTGCTCATTCCAGTTGATCCAGCGGTGAGCCTAAGATGAGAGACTTGTGTACTCAGCCAGGGTGATGTCTCTTTGATGGCTTATGCCTCATACTGGTGTCTGTTTCTCTCTGCAGCTTTACTTTATTTTTCTATACCTAAGTTTTATTTTATTATTGCATTTTGATGAAGAGTCAATACTGCAAGATGCTATGAATTTTGTCTGAAATGGACTGCTATGAAAACTTGTCAATGTGACTCATACAGAATTAAAATATAATCAAAAAGTTTATGTGACAGTGTCTGCCTGTGTGCTTAGACCATATCCATGAATGTTAAATCATGTATTAACATACTACATTTCCCTTTACAGGGATACCTTAGCCAGGTTTTTAAGATTTTTTTTTTAATGATTACCATTTGTGGCCTGTCCGCAACCATACCCATTGTACATTTGTCAAGTTAGGCTCTAACCCTATATTTAGGCTAGACACAGATTGTGTTGTAATGTTGAACCCGTGGAGACTTTAAGATCTTCTAAACAGCATTAATTGAAAAGTATTCTGCCTCTAATGTTATTTAACTTAGTTATTTTACATTGTTTTTGCCAATTATAAGACTGTAGCTATTCGACCTCTGACACGTCTGGCCACAGACGTAAAGTTTTGGCGCTTGACCTCGAGCTCTAAGTCTGCCATGTAGAAAATGTCTCTGTAAACCAGAGAACTAGTCCAGACAGGGCCAACATGCAAAGGCTGTCATCCTTTTTGCAGTATACTTATTCCGTCTGGGCCCCAGCTGTTACGTTTACGAAAACAAGGCACTCGATTATGTCTTCCCCGTCGTTGTCTTGACGCCATCGGAAACCTCATATTCCAACTGAGCTAAGTCCAACCCAACGATTTCTGATACGAGCCCAGGGCACAGCGGTGATTGCTCTTTAGGTGTGCGCGCCGCGGAGATCGCGCACTGGCCCGGAGAATTAATGGTCAATTGATCATTATGATTGGCAAACAACGAGACGTCTGGACGTGAGGCGCGTAAATGTGTCCGTGGGGAGACGCCTGATTGAGTTATTTGTACTTTGTGTGGGATTTGAAATGGGAGCGCCCTAGTGTGCGTGTGCGTTTGTGCCATTGTTTTTTATCTGTGCTCTCTTGACATTGCGCACTATGATTTCGTGTGTCTACAGTGAATCGTTTAAGTTGGACATGGTAAGCAACAATACATTTCAATCCACATACTTACGTTATTAAAGGTTTTTTTAAGATTCCCTGACCACGTGACTTATTTGAAGCTTGGCCAGTTTTAAACTTAGGCCTTGTTAGTTTGTCCTTTTCATCTGTTGATTCACAGAAAAGATAAATTATTTAACACAGGTTAGCAGATTTAACAATCAAGTAGGCCTAGGCCTATAGTCATTAAACTTGTATGCGTAATTGAGCTAATCATATATATTTAAAGGTACTACAGCCTATTTATTACACAAGACTGACTCTTCTGAGCTTTAAGCCATGTTACCTCACAGAAACATACTTGGAGCTTTTGTTTGATTCACACATGTTGGAGTAGATTTAAGCCTACTCGGTCTGCTCTGCAAAGCCCAAAATGCCCTTTCCCGCCTTTTGATGTGTGTGTTAAACATGTGTGAATGAAAACACAAACTCTAGGTTTTGATGAGGAAGCAACATTAGCCCCATAGCATAGATCAGAAAACAGCGTAATAATATGAGCCTTTTATAATAAACGTGGCGCACGCAAAACGCGGGAGCCATACGGATGAATAGGCCAAATGGAAAAGGTGTGAAAAGGTCAGCCATCGCTCCACCTCGAGTCACTGTCAGGTCATTTTGATGATTGCACACCCGGCTCTTACTTAAATAATTTTATTGTTCTTAAAATCAGATGTGAACCTTATTTGTACAACCTTATTAACGCAGCTAACATTAAAGTTTTAGGTGAAGCTAAAACTTTAATCTTGTTGTTTAGATCGTGCCTATAATATATAATTTATTTTTATTTATTTATTTATTTTTTTTTTTTTTTTTTTTTTTGTTTTGGAAGACAGCGCTGTCACTTATGGTCAAAAACTTGACAGTTTGCTTGCACTGGCTGATAGACAGGATAATTGGCTGCTCTCATCTGGCCCATGTCATTTCTTTAACTTTGTTGTTGAAGAGTCTTATCCGAGCCTCAAGGCCATACAAAGCAGATCACTTCCATTAAAAAAAAATAGCTGATGTGTGGCTCTATACAAACCATACGAGTAGGCCTGTTTTATATGGTTCGGGCTTATTGGTTTGTATTGAATTGATTGTATTAAATATTACAATACCATTTATAATATAAATGTATTGCATAAATGGGTCACTAATTATCTAAATATCTAAATATTATCTAAATATCTTGATTTTGCCATTTGTCCTGAGTCTAAGAAACAATGCTGGCAGTCCATGTAGTGTATGAAGTAAAGGGGGAGGAAAGATGAGAGCGGAGAGGGAGGAGAGTGATGTGTGTGTCAGGGGGTGTGTTGTTGTTGATTGTGGCTCATATTTCAACAGTGGTCCCTCAGACACATCCTGGGAGCCAAGGAAGGTGGGAGGCTTCTCACATCATAGACTACAGTGGTGTGTCATCTTTAGCCCCGTCTCCTCTGTTACTGCGTTTGCTTTTTTCTTTACAATAACTTCTCAAGAACCACCTGCACAAATATGGTCAACGTCAACACTCAGCACTCCAGGAAAAACCAATACAGTAGGAAATACTTTTTCTAAAGTGAGCCCTGCAAGTTCTGGGAGGTAAGTTGAATATTTGTGATTATTTTATTTTAGTAGGCTATATTATATATATATTATTTTTTGGTGGTAGTTATATATATATATATATATATATATATATATATATATATATATATATATATATATTATTTTTTTTAATACAAATAAACTTTATTGCTTCTTAAAACAAATAAAATAATTGACATTGTATTGTGTACCAAACCGTGCAACAAATTTACTGCAATCACCTTCATAGGTTGGGACAAATACAAAAGCTAATGTATGGCTCATACACACATGCACACATGCACACACACACATTTTTCTTGTGATTTCTATTATAGTTGAGCCTGTGTATTCCAGCCGCTCCTCGCCCCTCTTTGACAACTCATAGAGCTGTGCACAGCACATCTCATCCAAATGTCATCTGTCGTAGCCCCAGAAAAAACGTCCTCCAACTTCATGGGACCCAAAGAGGTTTGTGCATGATAAACTGCTGTATTGTAAATTTAATTAGAAAATTTACTTTTTGGCCCAAGGCAAACAAAATATGTCAAATCTGAATTAATTTAATGATCAACAGGTTGCTGTTTTCTCTCACTAATGCATTCATGTTTCACTCATAGGTTTGTAATATGCTTCACATATATCCCATAGGTGGAGCTGATTCTAGTGAAGGAACAGAATGGAGTTCAGTTCACATCGAGCACTTTGGTCGGTGCGGCTCCTCCTCAGACCAGTGCCAATGGAGAAGAGGAGCGGGAGACTTGGGGGAAAAAAATTGACTTTCTTCTTTCTGTAATTGGATTTGCTGTTGATCTTGCCAATGTGTGGAGATTCCCCTACCTCTGCTATAAGAATGGAGGAGGTAAGGCCTCTAAAAGTAAGAGTAAAAGGATGAAAAAGAACATTTGAAAACACACACACACAATGATTTCAGCACAGGTGAGGATATCTGAGGCACTTGTGCTTGCTTGCATTTTTTCTCACCCTTTTAAAGATCAAAAAAATACACAAAACCGCACCACAGCTGTTGTGAATAGATTAGCCCTTAGAATTAGTGCCAGTAATTATGGCTGTTTAACATAGAGCAGCCTCTACATTTAAGAGCTGTAAATGATACTGTGGCCTTTCTCTAACTGTTCTTCCTACTGTGGAGGATGCACAGTAAGTATCAACATCATATTTTGCCATACCTTTGAAATTATATTAAATATCTTGTCTGCAGGTGCTTTCCTTGTGCCATATTTGTTCTTCATGGTGATAGCAGGCATGCCTCTCTTCTACATGGAGCTGGCACTGGGCCAGTACAACCGAGAGGGCGCAGCAGGGGTCTGGAAAATCTGCCCCATATTTAAAGGTAGGTAATTACACACCATATATCATAGAGTGTGATCTGTGCCATGCCCACACACTCCAACCTTTAAGAGGCTGCATTTATTCAAAGCAACATGTACAGGAGAGTGAAATGGACAGATTTTTCACCCCCCTAAAATGTTTAGCAAAATGTATATAAAAATGCTTACTAACAAGAAAGGATACTGGGACACTGACCTCTGCCCAGGCCTTTTTCAAACTTATATAGTGCCTTTTATAATTTAGGGAATGTTGCTCCACGCCACCAAAACCCTCCCCAAGCAATATATGAAAGTATTTCTAATCTATTCTGTTAAGTTTTCTCATTTCAGAAAATATATTACTTAAGTCAATATTGCAAAAAAAAAAGTGTACAGAATCTTCTATAGCAATATAACAGTGACCTGTATTATATGTAAATCTGAAATGTTTGTGGTAACATAATTTCTCATATTTCACGCAAACTCTGCCAAAGTCCTGTATAAGAACATGGTGGGATTTTGATAGCTTAATCTTTGTGCCTATTGGCCTGTCGTGCTGGCTAATGTCCTCCCTTTAATGTGTACATGTCCACTCGTCTGCCCACGTGCCGCCTGTCCACATGCCAGTCTCTTTTGTCTGCTCGTCTTTTGCATTGAGCAGCGACAGCCATTGTTTATCTCCCAGAACATCAGCTTGACTTGGCACTCAAATGGAAAGCATGGCATGGAAATCAAATGAAAATTGGGCTTTTAAGACTCTGCTCCTGATTGTGCATTTTCTCACGACAGATGATGGCAGGTTACACTGGCTGACTGGCTCTGCATACTTTTCAACACCTCAATAAACAAATTGCACTTTAATAGAATGTCAAACCCACAAACACTAATGGAGAGCTAACACAAAGATTCAACAAAAGTTTTGTGTTGTTGCCAGATGTACTTTCTGTACAGCTTTGGTATCAAAATGCCTTAATACTGTAATGTTAGTAAAGGTGTACATTGTAAGGACATTATGTTTTCTTAATTGACATTAGCTTGATGACATCTGTCATTACTCCTAAAACCCTTTTTTTTTTTCAAATGGAGCTTTAAAATAAACTGAAAAACTTCTAGCAAGCATTAAGTTACTAAACTTTACACCAAATCTGACAAATTCAGCAATATTTTATATCTTATAT